GGGGGACCAAGGCGGGACACTGAGTCCCAAGGAATAAAGAGAAACCCGGGAGTAGAGCCTAGCATCAAAATGGAGTATTTATTGGCAATAGGGGATAGCCCGAACTCAGTCTGAGCGGATACCGGAGTGGACGGACTGTGATGTGGTAGCACGCTGTTAGTGTGTGTACGCATTGCTTGACGATGTAATTATGTTCCGTGAGATGTAAATCTCCTAACTACATTGTTGATACTGAGTAATTCTCTGCAGTCCAAGAATCCAAGTCAGAGTCTTTAATTTGGGAGGTTGCAGTCCATCGCAGCCTTTTTTTTTTTTTTTTTTTAAGCATACCCTACATATAAATATAAATGACTTGTTCCGGCGAACTCGTGGTTCTGTGGGATTAGGAGAGTGAATGGAAGCAGAGAGTGAATTAAATTTTGTGGGCCACGATGAGCCAGGAGAGGTATGCAAGCAGCAAGTTGACGCTTCATCGGACAGATTCGGATATCTTTGCAAGCTCGTGTTGTGATGGTGTGATCTATGTATGGGACATCAACCAAAAGTCTAGTTTTTTTTAGGCTTCCAGATCATGGAAGAATATTATTACGGTGCAAGGGTTTAGTACGGAGTCTATGCACTTGACTTTCACAACAGCCGACACGGAAAGCAGGTGCGACTGTCATGTCATGTCATGACAGTCGCACCGACTCAAACGTTTTCCAACAAGGAAAATGAAACTCTGTTTGTCTGGGACTACAGGAGACGATGTCCCTTCATCCACTCTCGAAATTTCGAAAAATATCATATTGCGGGATGGACTGCAATTGCCGTATTTCTACTCTTAGGACAGCCTTCTTCCATTTGCACTTGCCGTATTTCTTCTTTACGGCGTCAACACCGTCAAGTACTTGGCATATCAGGGTTTTGAATGAGTCAAACTACCACCTCGTGGCAGATTTTGACTTGCCGACGTGCGATTATCTTCTTCGACTTGTTCCTTGCAACAAAAACTCCAACCATGTCATTGCTTTGGGAGAGAATGTGGACGGAAGAAGGAATAGATGTTTTTTCAGCTGATGGTATTGACCAAAGGAGGAAAAGAGGGGAAATTTAAACCATCAGTACTTCCTCGAGTCGTGCCCGTTAACGCGCCACGATTTTAGGAAACGTACGGGCTACTAAAGGAGGGCCCAAATTCATCCGACTAGAGGGAGACTGGGATTGTGAGGAACACTCGTAGAGACATTTCATTTAATGAGGAGATCCTTAGACTGGGACTGTGAAGTACATTGGTAGTGAAATTTGAAATTTTAGAAATCCAAGCTAAGGGGTTGAGGAGGAGTCTTCACAATCAGAGCTGAGGTGCAGGTCCTACAGGTCCTACAGGACTCATCCAGTAATGCAAACTGCAGAATCTGAGCTGAGTACAGGAATTTTAGGGAACACTAGTCTAAGACGAGAACTTAGCTGCAACCTAGTGCACTGTAAATTCAGATCCTTGCAACAGACTCTATGGCATTGCGGCAATAGGCAAGTTTCTTTTGAAAGGGAGGACCTGGTGTGGAGATCAGAATGACTCTATTCTTCCTCTCGCTTGGTAGAACTGTGGAAGTTTTGGTGGCTGGTGCGGTGTACGGTACGGGAGCAAGGGCTGGGCTGCGTGCATGTGGGTGGTCATTTTGTAACATGAGGTTGAAAGCCATCACGTTCAACACCACACACAGCACAGGGAGGCTCGCACTTCCTCTCAAACAACTGCTGTGCTGCAACTGCCTGAGTACCCACATATGGAAAATGTCGAATTTTGGCCTCTGGTGAATATTCAGGCCCGCCTTCGCTTAGGGTGGGCACGGGGCTTGCTGAGGGCCTTTTTTTTTTTTTTTTTTTTTAAAAAAAGGGCCCAGTGCCCAAGGCTAATATTATCAATGAGAATGCTGAGGCCGGGGTCCTCACAGTCTACCCGGAGTGAACGCACGACCCTAGCTGAGAACCGGGCTCCGCGTCCCTTAAATGAAAAAATACAAGGAAGCCATAATGATGATATATGCAGGCCTTTCCAGGGCAGGGAGAGAAACCTCTTCGCCTTGTCCTCAGGCGCCAGATCCATTTGGTTGAGAACTAGCTCCCTCCTCTCTCTTTCTGAGCCTGCTGAGTACAAAAAGACAACCATGTTGCTGGACGCTGGAGTAGAGTCCTCTAATGTGTGTCAAAAATGGAGGCCGGGGGCGCCTCAGAGGGCCTTAACCCAGAACCTGTGCATGTCTGATAAGGGCCCTGCAAGGGCTCATTCCTCGCCTTTTTCTATATTTAAAAAAAATCCAGAACATAAAAGAAAGAAAATAACAAAAAACTTGAAAAAAGAACAATATGAAATGGGTGTTTTTTTCCTTTTTCAAAGATTGTTTTTGTGGGACAACTTTTAACAAAATAAATAAATAAAAAAAGTCTTGTAGACAGGGTTACCTGACCGAACGTTCGGGGGCTCCCGGGCTGACCCCCGAACGTTCGGGCGTTCGGGGTCCCATTCGGGGGCCGAACACCTCCAGGCTCGGCCCCCGCCAAAAAATGTTTCGAGGCCTAAAAATACGTTTTTTTTTCAAAAGTTTTTTCTGTGAGTTCTCTATGATGTAACCTACACGCCTATAAATTTTGAAGCCATTCTGCTAAGCCAAACAAACATTAAAAATCGTCAAAGATGGGGGTGTCAAAACGTGGTCGCCCACTCACTATTTTGTTTTTTTTCACTTTTAACTTTTTGTTTTCACTTTATTTCGGGGCCTAAAACAATTTATTATTTTTTGAGTTTTTTTTAATGAGTTATTGATTATGTAAATTACATATCTGTAAATTTTCAGGGCATTTGTCAATTCCAAAACATAATTAAAAATCGGCAAAGATGGCGGTGTCGAAAAGGTGCTGGCACACTCACTCATCTTAATTCTCTTTTTATTTTTTCCTATTTTTATCATAGTGTTTATTTTCTGTATTTGATTTTTCATTCAAATTTGGTAACGAATTTGGATGTAGTGCCCAGGCAAATGTTGTTAAGTTTATATTTCTCCATAACCTAGTTTTTTTTCCGGAATTTTTCGAAAACGTTTGTTTTTTTTTTTTTTTTTTTTGGTCCGCGTTCTGCCCGAACGGCCGAACGCCTTCCGAAGGGGTCCCGTATGTTCCGACGTTCGGGTTCGGGCGTTCGGCCCGTCCCGAACGCCGGTAACCCTGCTTGTAGATATTTTGGAGATTTACGACCCCATATTTTTTATTTTATTTTTTAAAAGTTCGTATATATTTAGAAAAATAAAAAACATAAAAACGAGAAAACAAAGACACTCGCAGACCCCCCTCAATCCCCCCCCCTTCCACACACACACACACACACACACACATAACAGGGGGACGAGGAGCGAGGATCGGCGGTGGATAAAGAAGAATCACCAAGTGCAGGAGACAGACGGCAAGGGCATTAAATGCCGAACAAAGCAATTAAGAGAAATAAATGAAGAATGAATAAATAAGCGAGGGGAGAAGGGAAAGGAACCCTGATGAAAGATTATACAGAACAACGATGCATGCCCTGTTAGGCGACGCGCCCCAGTTACAATACAGCTTCGCT